GAGAATAGTTGATAAGACGAGAGGAAATCATATCTCCTTCGTGATTCATGCTTGAAAAATATTTGGCAACCGCCTGACTGGTGTTTGATTTATTACCCGATGTTAACGAGGATTATGGCTAGTCTCTGACTATCTATGGCTAGTCAGAGGACGTGATGTGGGCTGAAATGTCTGTTCTTTTTAGGTCACGTCTGTTAATGCAGCAACAAAGACGGTGACTTTGGATGACGGATCTGTTCATCGCTATGACCAGTTGCTAATTGCCACAGGCTGCAGGTCAGTGGCTGTTTAGAGACTTATTGTCACTTTAATGTACTGTGCCCTGTTTTTTTTAAGGAAGTCCCAAAATGTTGGCTTTCTACCTAATTTAAGAATCGTTTAGATGCTGCACTCCAGATTTCACTGGAGAAAAATTATAGTCCTGCATGCAGGTTGCTGAAATGTGCGTTTGGTCAGGAAACTGACTGGCTGAACCCCCCCGCCCCCCCAAATGCCACATGCCCAGACCCAGACTCCTGAACTGCCCGGGTGCTGACTTGCAGAATGTCAGAACACTGCGAAATCCAAACGATGCCAGAGAGATCCACCATGCCAGCATCAACCGCCATGCTGTCATCGTTGGTGCCTCCTTCATAGGTGCTCCCCCCCCCCACCCCCTGGTGCCTGGGCTCACAATATGTAAAAAATGCCACACTTTAATAGGAAAATACGAGCATCACTTGAATGTTTCTGCCCTTAATATTTTATTGGTTTTTATGGTATCTGAGTCTCTTTGTCTTAAACCCGTTGCTTTCCTGTGAAGATTCAACCATCCTTCCAGATCTCCCAACGCCTTTTGTGTTGGCGCAGTATCTGTAAATCTTCTTTCTAGGCATGGAAGTGGCGTCCTACCTGGTGGACATGGCTGCCAGCGTGACGCTGATTGGCAGCAGCAGGCTCCCGTATGAAAGGACACTTGGGCCTGAGGTTGGGAAAGTCACCATGCAGGTCAGCAACGACCTTCACCGTTTACATAAGAACATAAGAGATTTACAAACGAGAAGAGGCCATTCGGCCCATCAAGCTCGTTTGGGGAGAACTTAACTAATAGCTCCGAAGCAATACCTTCTTTCTTAAAAGGCCGCAGTCCTGATAAATGTGCAGTCTTGCGTTTGAACTCTTGCCCTGGGAGTCTTTCTTCTCATGTTGTTGTAGATGTTTTGATTTTAGGAAATACTCCTGCCAAATACCGTGCTTCTGTTCATGTGTTGCAGATGCTGGCAGAGAAGAACGTGAGGTTCTACATGAGTGACCATGTGACCGAGCTCAGAGGACAGAATGGAACGGTGAATCAACCCCAATAAGTTTCAGTCACAACTAGTTTCGTTTAGATTTTTTAGTCCAGATTTTTTTGTGTCACACTGTTTCAATAACATATTCAGCTGTATGAATAGGTAAAGATGGTAAGTTGCTCTAGATAAAAATGTAGCTGAGAAAAAATGTAAAATAAAATCACAGCTTTGGGTCCCAAACTGCCATTTCTGTAGGTCAGTGAGGTGGTGCTGAGGAGTGGTGTGGTCCTGCCGGCCGACATCGTGGTCCTGGGCATAGGTGTGTAGGGGCTTTTCTCTGCTACCTAGCAGAATGTATATATAACGTGCTTCATCCCTACAGTGGCTGTCGACTTACGATCTATGCGATTTGGGACCGATGGACTTTACAACCGTTCTGAGACTGCAAATATGTGGCCACGACTGCACTGCGTCTGGCAGTGTGAGAGCATGACAACTCCTGCCCCAACTGCTGGCAGCAATAAAACTAAGAAAATGGCGATGAAAAGGCTAAAAAACACCAAACAAATTTAAAGATGATATAATTTTATTATGCAGTATACTATACATATGATCATTTTTGCCAACTTACAACCAGTCAGTCAGAACCGATTGCGGTCGTAAGTCGACGACGGCCTGTGGTATTTGCTCAGCTCTGTAACTGAAGTGTACATGTTAAATATTTTTCTGTTTTTATTGTTTTCAAGGTGTCACCCCCAACTCTGAATTTCTGGAGGGAAGCTCAGTGGAGATGGACTCCAAGGGAGCAGTGATTGTAGACAGGGTAAAAGTGGCTCTCGGGCCGCAGGAGCGCAGTCGGTCTGGGGGTTATCGCTGCGGACTGGGGGGGGCGTGTTCCTGACCAAATGCAGCACAGACTCGGCCAATCCCATCAGGAGAGAGAGCGTGAAACTCCTCATGGTTCTTTTTGTGCATCACAAATGCCACCTGCAGAAACGATGTATGATGGTATCAATCTTTCTACTTGCAGTTCATGAAGACCAACGTCCCAGATATCTTCGGTGCTGGGGACGTCACTGCCTTTCCCTTGGCTGGCCAGGACCCCCAGCGAGTCAGCCTTGGGCACTGGCAGTTGGCACAGGCTCAGGGTGAGTGTTGTCCAGTCTGGTCCTGCTATGCTCATCTCACCATGGTGGACATAGAGGCTGAGGTCCTCTGCTTCTTCAGGAAGGATGGCTGCCTTCAACATGCTGGACCGGCCCCTGGAGATGAGCTCTGCTCCTTTCTTCTGGACCGTCTTGTCAAAGAAGAGCATCCGATACGTCGGTAAATTTTTCAGTGGCTGCCATGTTCAGCTAGTGAAATCATTACCCTGCAACTGCTATGGTACCTATGAGATCATGCATCTTTTGAGAAATGTCCAGAACAGTATAATGGGTTTCATAATAATGGTTATTTTCATAGGCCATGGCGAAGGACATACTGAAGTTATCCTGAAGGGGAATGTGGAGGAACTGAAGTTTCTTGCATTTTATATAAAGTAAACTTCATTGTGAAACGTTTTAAAGTCACAATTTAAAGCCATTACAATAGCCATGTTTAACATCACTAACCCCCAACCCCCCTCTTTCTTCAATGTTCTTTAATAGGGCCGATGATGTGGTGGCTGCAGCCAGCTTGAACTTTGACCCGGCCATCTCCCAATTGGCTGAAAGGATGCAGGCGGGGAAGAGGACCACCAGGGCACAAGCCGTGTGAGTGTGCCGTCTGCTAAGCTTAACACCTGTGCGATTTTTAGGCAACAGGAGCCAGCATCTCCAGGTGCTCCTCAGTGCTCCTCAAATAACTACCATGTACTAAATATGAAGACCTACAGCCAAAAAACCTTTAGGAAAATTGCTTTTCTACTCTGTGTAAAACCATTGAATGATCTCATAAGTTAGAACCGGTTTTGTGGCGTAACATGCTGATTAACCAGGAATGTCTGCATCACATACTAATGCATTTTGATTTTTCTTTAAAGATCTGAAGACTTGAGCTGGCTGAAGCCACTGTGACTCCCCCCATGCTGTGACTCCCCCCACGCTGTGACTCCCCACTGAGTCCTTGCTGATGGTTGTTGGGTGTCTTGCTCATTTCAGATCACGTAACTACATTATTTAAAAAGACCTAAAACTGTCACTTGTGTTTTTTTCTCTCTCAAGATGAAGGCCTTTCCTGTGTTTTCATTCATTGTCTCCAATATATTTGCAAATTAGTGATTATACCATTGTAGATAATTCATGCACATTTAAGCATCACTTTCCAAGCTGTGTATTAAAAAAACTGTGATACATGTGGTATATTATACATGGACTTTAAAGTATACTTCCTCTTTACTTCTGTCATTTACTGCCTTTAGCAAAAGTCACAAAGTACCCAATATCATACAAGTGAAAGGGTGTAATAGTCTATCAAAGGAAAATAAATATAAAATAAATTCAATACATTGCAGTTTTTTAAGACACACTTTCAACCTGAAACGAATGTGTACTGACCCTCCTAACAGCTCATTGGCTTTTCAGTTGTTTTTCTCAATTCGTCCCATTTCATGAAACGTGCTTAACTAGTTAATGCCACGAAAACTATCCACCCATGCAGCCTGTTTGGGGTTGCAGGGGGTCTGGAGCCTATGGATGCCAGGCAGAGAACAGCCCAGGATGAGGTGCCAACCTACCACTGGGCGCACACACACACACACACACACACATACAGCCCTATGGGCAATTTGGTAACACCACTTAATCTCAGCATGGTTTTGGATTGTGTGTGGGGTGAGAAAGAGAAACCAGAGTACCTACAAGAACCCCCACAATAACTTGGGGAGAACATGAAACTACACAGAGCTTGCTGGCAGAGACTCAAACCCAGGTCCCAGAGGCGCGAGGCAACAGCACTAACCACTGCACCACCGTGACACCTGCCAATAAAATGAAAAGTTCCTTAATCATTGTTTAAATCATGAGGGTCAAAATGATTCGACATTGTCAGAATGTCAGTGTAAATATGCTCCCGATCACCACAATTCTGAATGGCAGCCATTTCCCATTTTCTCACTGGTCACCAGCGGATCACTTAATTTCTTAAGATCAAGGCACAGTGCAAGACCAAACAAAAAAGTTACACAAAACTGGCAAAAAATGACAATACAATCATTAACTCTGGGAACCAAAAATACAACTATAGCCATATCACTGCAATTTATGGAATATATTCTTGAATTATTCTTAAAGTCTAGTATGTGGTGGCCTACGTGATTATCATTTAGATACATAGTTTTGGATATAAAATTATTTCACTGAGAAACTGCATAATCAATTTTGATAATTGATAATTATGCCAAATGAACAGTACATTACCATCTGCATAAATATGCTAAAATATTTGGGAACCAATGAGAACTTTCATTTTGTTGTATACAAGTAACTTCATGGTGTGGTGAATGCACTATTTATAAATTGCGAATGTTAATTGTCATTTGAGAAATGTGCACATAAACCACAATGCGAAATACATTTAATGTAAAATTAAAAAAAAAAAATCACTTTCATAGAAAGGTTAACATGTTAGTTGATAAACATCTTGAACAAAATATCATAGACATATGTACCGTAACATAATACAAACCAGTACCGGTGACGTCACGTCACACGTGAATGGTCCTCCAATATCCCAGAACCCCTTGTTTTCGGAAGTTTGTCACGAGATTCTCCTCGTCCTATCCGATGTCGATTGTAGCTGTAGTTGCCGTGTAGAATGTCAATGATGGAGGATGAAGAGCTGGAATTTGCAGATGATTTGGATGCGATTCTGCATCTTACGCCCGAGGTGCAGCAGGCCATCGAACAGGTATTTGTCTATGTCGTGGTCGTGAGCATTTATCCGGGCGATTTCCGATGGGCGTGTGATTGTGTTTTTCTAGTTTGCTAGCGTAAGGCAGGTGTTCAGGCATGGCTTCTGCCTGACAGGTAAATATTAATTTCAGACGCCTCATTTCGCGCTGTGAACGTAAGCGACTATACATACGGGTACATTATTGAAGCTGTAGAATTAATGTAGTCTTGTTTGTCTTGTAAAAAGCGTTTTGTATATGCGATGTAATGACGTTCGTGGAATTCACCAGCACTGACTGTGAATTTCTTATGATCCTCGTACTGCACTTTGGATGCATTCTGATCCACGCAAGGTGTCCCACGGCGGGTGTTCCACTGTGGCATGAGTGCAGTAGTTCTTGGGTGCTGCACTTGCTGCATAGTCATTGTGATCGTTTTCTTGTTCCGTTGATAAACGTCGATCCGAGTTTTACACTTTATTGACGTCCCAGTCTGAAGTGTTTTTTGGTTGTGGTCGGGGGCTGACTGCAGGCTTCACAATACTCAGAATCAGGATGTGAATGCCTGTGTATGTAGCTATAAGTAACGGTTGATTTCGTAGGTTTTCCCTAGTCAGGATCCATTGGACAGAGCAGATTTCAATGCTGTGGAATACATCAACACCCTTTTCCCCACGGAGCAGGTAGGCTATCTGCACCGAGGAAGTGTTAAGCAAAATGGACTATGTTTAAAGAAATAAAAATTGCCAGGAAGTTACTAATTTTGTGTATTCGAATCTTTGCTGTCAATTTCTTTTTTGTTTACTTTAAACTTACTTTCAACTTTTAGATATAATATTTCTGAGATTCTACGCCTCTTTGCTGGGTGTATGTATATTTTAACGTTTAATTCACTATGTCCACTAGAGGGAGGCATTTTACTTCATACGACACACGTGGCGACTTAGCTTGCATTTTGATTGTGAACTAAATACAAACTTAAATATAAACTAATCAAATATTTGTCGATTTTTTGGGTCAGTCTCTAGCCAACATTGACGACGTGGTGAACAAGATTCGTTTGAAAATTAGGTGAGTGTTTTGAATCAAGTGCCTGTGTTGACAGTAGTCAATGATGATGATGATGATGATGATGAGATAGTGAGGTAATGAGCTGTGTCTCAGGCGCCTGGATGACAACATCCGGACTGTGGTGAGGGGTCAAACAAACGTGGGACAGGATGGCAGGCAGGTGAGTGGTCCATCCCCTTTCCTCTGCTTTCATTCCATTACTAACCCTTTCTGGGCTTCTGGTAAGTCGCCGCCCTACTGGTTTGTGACATGCATTGCATGTTTGTCTTTTTTGGTCTTGCTGTTACCTGCTTGCAGGTCTTGTTGTGGCTCGACAGGGGTATACACTTGCCCTAGTTCCTGGGTTTTCCTGGCAAGCTTCGGCATCAGGCCCTCTGGAGACCACACGACCAGCGCGGTTCTCCATTCTCTACGTTCCCCCTATCGTTGTGGAAAAAGGGCCGCATGAGTCAGACTTGCCCAGACGATTAAATCCTGTCCTCCAGGAAAAAAACAGGGATTATTCCCCCCTGTCATGCCGTAATTCCATTTCGAGTTGTGGTTTTAGACGGGCCTGCTGTGCCGCCGCTTTCTGGAATATTCTGCAGCCATTGATTGAACACAGATCTGCTCTCCACCGTGGCAGCACGGTTCAGTGAAACTGGAGATTCTACTAGTACCAGGCAGCGGGCTCAGGTTCCTGTCTTGCCCGCCAGATCGTGAGGGTCTCCCGTGGCAGAACTCGAGGGGCAGAACGCGAGGGGCTTCCACAGCAGAACGCGAGGGGCTTCCACAGCAGAACGCGAGGGGCTTCCACAGCAGAACGCGAGGGGCTACCACAGCAGAACGCGAGGGGCTCCCGAGGGGCTCCCGCAGAGGAATATCAGGGGCAGAATGCGAGGAGTGGAACGTGAGGGGCTTCCATGGCAGAATGCGAGGGGCTTCCATGGCAGAATGCGAGGGGCTTCCATGGCAGAAAGCGAGGGGCTTCCATGGCAGAACGCGAGGGGCTTCCACAGCAGAACGCGAGGGGCTTCCACAGCAGAACGCGAGGGGCTTCCACAGCAGAACGCGAGGGGCTTCCACAGCAGAACGTGAGGGGCTCCCGCAGATGAATACCAGGGGCAGAATGCGAGGAGTTGGACATGAGGGGCTTCCATGGCAGTACGCAAGGGGCTCCTGCAGCAGAATGTGATCTGGGTCCTGTGGTTGTATTCAGAGGAGCACAGGCACAGTGGCTGAGGTGGCAGCATGTGTCACAGGACACGACCCTCTTTTTAGTCTGGGCTGTGTCTCTTTGGGGGGGGGGGGGGTTGGGGGAGCGCTGGGCTCCTGGGACATGATGTTGTTGGAGCCTGTGTGCTTGTGTGTGTTTTGTATCTCGTTCCGCTTCGAAGCCCAATGTTTTCATTTAGGTTTTTTTTTTTTTTTGACCCTGGGCTCTTTCTGCCATATCGCGGGGTATTTCCCTGGAGTAATTGAGGGTGACTGCTTTGCTATGGTTAGCTGGGCCTTTCCTGGGACTCCCTCCACTGACCTTCACGTTCTGAGTCCTCCGTAACTTCAGATTTCCTCTGGAGTGGTGGGAGAGGATGCTGGAACGTGTTGCTGGAGGGGCTACCGGTCAGCGGAATGTGCCGGCGGGGCAGTGGGATTCATGCCCTGCTGCACGGTCGGGGGGGTTTGTTCCTGTTACCCCATTGGCCCAGCAGTCGGCCTTTGCAGTGCCTTGGGGGGGCAGCAGACGGCGTGTCAGTGGGACAGCTGCTGGCCCAACTTGGGGTGGATTCTGGGAGTGTTTTCAGCACCTCTGCTCACCCTGCGCTAAGTAGCAGTGTGCTGAACTGCTGTAAATAGGGTCAAGGAAGATGAGTGTCATCCCAAATAGGGCGGCCAGGGCAGACTACAGGAAGTGTGCTTTAGCAAGAGGTGTTTATTTTGGTGTCGGCCTCATTGTAGGGATGTTCAGTGAAGCAGGCTCAGCAGCTGATTGGACGGAAAAGTCTGATGTTAAATGAGGGGTAACATTTGCTGCGATCCTTCCCGGCTGCTCGGGACCAAATGGAGACCAGGCCGTCCGACGAAGCTGCTTTTTAGGAAAACATCCCAGAGGACAAAAACATCAGCGTTTCATCTAAATGCAGGAAATGTTTTAGCTGCTTGTTGGGTTTCTGTCTTTTTCCCTCGCTCTCTTTGAAATCGATCTGCTTCTCCACACCACAATGAGGGGGGGATGCATTCTCTGCTACAGGCAGTTCTAGGCAAGGCAATTGAGCGCCCCCTTGTGGAGATGTCTATTCAGGTCTCTGTATTAATTTCGGCGTGGCTTTTTTGCACTGTTAGCTTTTAGAGTTTTAGTGCAGGTTGTTTTAATGAGGCTCCTGTCACATGCTGATACCCGAACGTGGTCTTAATGGCTTTGATCTCATACTAACCCCTAGCTGCTCAGGACACACCCTCCCTTCCTCTCTTGCTGCACCGGATAGGATGTGACCCCCCCCCCCATTCTCTAAATAGACACCCCCCTCCGCAGCTGTGTGTCTGGGCTGAAGGAAGGGGCCCCGCCCTGTCCCGGGGGAGACCAGTGGGATTTCGCGGGGGGGATAGTGTGGTTCAGGAAGAGAGAGCTGGATGGGAGCCGGTCATACAGAACCCCCCCCCCAGTCAGACACACCCAGGACCTGCTGGCCTGGGGGGGTCAGGGCTGCCCAGCATGCAGGCTTGTGGCCCCCCGAACTTGATGGTGGACCTCTGGCATGGCTGCACCAGGTTTCAGCAGCGTATCCTGAGAGGGATTTAAAAACATGACCCCATCAACCCCCGCCCCCACCCCTCTTTTCCTTTCAAAGCGGTAAATTCCGCGGGCAGCTGGGCCCAGCTGTTAGCATTCCATCTGTCTGGGGGGGGGGGCGTGTGTCGGGTGCTGGCTGCCGTGGTGACTGCCGCCCCGCCCAGATTTCGGAGCGGGCTTTCCTACCCTGCCGTCACCCCGCTGCCCCGTGCTGACCCCCCCCAGGTGCTTCGGCAGAGCGCCCCTCCCGCAGCTGTTCCCGGATCGTCCGGCTTGGAATGTGGGAGCGGGCAGCATGCTCTGTCTTTTTTTCTGTCCTGTCTTCGCTCCGTCGATTTTCCGTCTCCCCGGCAAAACCGCTGAAGCCTGCATTCTAAAAATACGGCCTCTCTGGGAGGGAGAGGGATTCCTCGCCGGCCTGCCACGCGTCCTCCTTCTCCTATCCCATCCCAGCTCGGGAGCCCGTGCCAGGCAGGCGGCAGTAACTCAGCTCCGTCTCTGTAAATAAAGGCTCCCTGCGTTTAAGCAGAGAGGAGCAGGTTTTCGTTCTCTGTGTAATTTTCTGTGGATTCGGAAAGACGGAGTGCAGATGGTGTGTTACTCCCATCTGCCGCATCCCTGGTAGTGACACTCGCGTGGCTGAGTGCTGGAGCCGGGGCCCCGGCTCGGCCCCAGCGGGAACGTCAGGCCCCTCAACACTGTGTCTCCCTCTGTAGGCTCTGGAGGAGGCCCAGGTAGCAATCCAGCAGCTCTTCAGCAAAATCAAAGACATCAAGGACAAGGCGGAGAAGTCGGAACAAATGGTTAGTTTACCCCCCTCCCCGTGGACGCCCAGTCCTGATACCAACCCCCCCCACCCATCCCCCAGACACAGATGGAGGAAAGGCTGATTTTTTCCCTTTAACTCAAAACAACCTGTAATTTTGTCCATTAGTACAGGCATGCTTGGGTTAAGGGTACAAGGCTGATCCTGAGACTGCAGCCAATAGCATTTCGGTCACATGGTTTAGCCGCATTATGGCATCAGTTTTGGCAGCTGTTTGAGGAGTAATCAGCACCCCCCCCTCCCCCCCCCCAGGTGAAGGAGATAACGCGAGACATCAAGCAGCTGGACCACGCCAAGCGCCACCTCACCACCTCCATCACCACCCTGAACCACCTGCACATGCTGGCGGGGGGAGTGGACTCGCTGGAGTGAGTGCTGTACTCATGGGGGGGCTGGCTGCTTTTCGTTGACAACATCCCTATGAACTGGGCCGGTCTCCACAGGGCCATGACACGCAGGCGGCAGTACGGAGAGGTAGCTAACCTGCTGCAGGGCGTGGTCAACGTGCTGGAGCACTTCCAGAAGTACATGGGCATCCCGCAGATCCGCCAGCTCTCCGAGAGGTGAGCCCGACCACACCGGCCCCCGGGGACTCAGACCGCACAGGCCGGTATCAGTCCGCGGGGAGCCGGACCGTGTAGGCCGACCAGACCGCAGAGGCCAACGTCTGCCCTGGTCCCGCTTCTCAGGTTTGGCCGATGTTTGCTCTTGTTCTTTTTTTTCTTAAGCCGTTTATTGTTCCCCTCACAAACTAAAAGAGGGTGTGCAATGGATTCACATCCTGTTTATGGGAGGGTGTGCTGCTCATGAGGGCGTGGGCTGTGGGCTCCGGGGGGGGGGGGGGGTATTCTCCACGGGTCCCGGGGGGCCGGAGCACCTCAAAGGGGTGGAGAACAGGCACACAGACCTTCTGCCACTGAGCTGAGTGCATATTTGTGTAGGAAGGACAAAAGGTTTTTGGTTCCAAAGTAAAGAAGTGTGTGTGTGTGTGTGTGTGTGTGTGTGTGTGTGTGTGTGTGTGTGTGTGTGTGTGTGTGT